TAGTTTCCGGTATCACTTGTTTTATACAGAACTGCATTATAATAAAAAAAGGTACTCTTTCAAAATATTTAATACATAGGAGTATGTAAAGTGACACAAATGTTGTTACTAAATTTAAAAAAAAACACACACACACACACACATACCAAGATTTTAAAAATATAGAACATATTTAAATCTTTTTATAGACAAATGAACAATCAAATCTTTCTCGTTTATAATATTAGTGTACATTTAAGGTCGAGTGTTTATTAAGCGACTTAAAGTTATTTTGGGTATTTACCTAATTTTATTGTACCTCAACGCTCCCATGACCATATAGATATTTAAAATATTACCAGCCAAAAATGTAATTTGAATTTGGAACTGTTTGTTGGTCTAATTCTATTAGTACACATACACCTGGTCTCTAAATTGAGAATTTAAAGTTAAGCACGTCTCAAACTGTACTTAAACTGGTTTTCGTTTCTAATTTTAGTTTTTTAAAGATCAGTCGATAGCAGTTTGATGAAACTAGGACTTTTTGCCTTTTGTAACGTAAGAAACTCAAGTTATTGAGAATAATAAATTTGAGATTCTGCAGTGTTCTCAATTCAGGAACCGGCTTTGTCTTTTATCTGAATTAGTGCAGTCGCGTGATGTGCCTATCTGTCAACGCACTTTCTACGATTATTTCGTAACAATTGTTATTCGAGTTGGGGCCAAGGCCGCGGTCGTATCGCACGCCGCTCGCTGTAAACCCGTGTGAACCCGATGTCGCAACTATTCGTATATTATCGGTAGCGTTCGAATCTAAATAGTTAGTTTGATTGTACCCCTGGCGGTTTGTTTAGTGTTGTAATACCCATTGCGATGTTAACAGAATGATGCTATAAAAACGGTGCTATAATGTTTCACCTTCCAAACGTAAATGGGCTAAAATGAGTTTTATCTAATGGCCTACCCGAACATTAGTATTATGAACATTTGTTAATGGTCGAGGTTAAATATTATTACCTACACTGGTGTATATTTTGTGAATTAATATAAAGTAGGAGAACGAAACGGTTTTACAGTAATTACTAGTTAAGAGTAACTTGGTGGTGTATTGGATAAGCGCCGCGGCTCGCGATCGTCGTTGTTAAGCAACTTTCGCAAGGGTCGGTCACGGGATGGGTGACCAAAAAATGGGCCGGCGTGGAGGGTCTTGACCATCCATAAGGAAGGCCCGAGCCCCTGCAGTGGGGAGGTAAAAAGGGTTTATGACTGATATATTTATTTTTTGTTTTTATTTATTTAATCGTTATTGCCAAATTAAAGCAAATGACGGACTTAATCCCGGAGGCGGATTAAAAGGGTTTATGAATGTGATGATGACTATAAAAAAATCTTGATTAATTTTATTCTAATACCGATAATTAAAAATTAAAACTGTTCATCAAACGTCTATAATAGAATTAAAATAACAATGACTAATTATGCAAATACACAGATTTCCATAATTATAATTCCATAAATTATATAAATAAACCATGGAGAAAAAAAATACTCAATTGTGTCTTCTAACAATTAACAGTACAAAATTATAACTATCTTGATAGAATTTGCGTGATAACGAGCAGAAACAGAACAATTAATTTTACAATTACTTAATTATGATTTAAAATAATACCGCTCATTTCTGTATCACACCGAGCATGAAATATTATCAATGTGATGAGAAAAAGTAAATTTTTTCGTATAATTTAGTTACAATACCAAAATTTAACATAAACGCATACATTAAATTTTCATTTTATAAGAACTAGTTGTTACATAAATTAGCCTTATATAAATATATGACATAATTATATAATTTATATAAGACCAATTTATAATACCTATAAAATTAGCTTCCCGCCGATGAAATAACTTTAACAAACATACAAAAAGACAAACAATCTAACTAATCTTTCCTTTTTATAATATTAGTATTGCAGTACAGATAACGATGACTTCAGAGCAAGGGCGAGTTTGCACGTGTAAGGTTATGACGCCAATTCGTGGGTGATTTCTCTGTAATAGGGATGATGAATAATTTTTGTTTGTTTGTCCGTCAGGTAGAGTGTTAAAAAATATTAAACAAGTATTTTTCAATTTTTTTCGTAATCATAAAATTACGGCGTTACATGGAGTTGAAATTTCGCATGACGTCTCGTTAAAGTACGCTTTCTACTCAACTGTGACGTAGCGCGCCCCCGCTCCTCAACTTTAATGCCTGTTATCTAAGCTATTTCTTGTTAAGTTGAAGTAAAAAAAAAATACGTATCTAATATTTTTCTATTATCTGATTGACGGACTAAATAGAATTGCATTTTTTTTACCCAGTCATCATCCCTATTATACGTAAATGCTAGTCGTTTGAACTTTATTGAGGTTTTATCAACATAGAATTTCTTTTTGATTTAATAAATGATATCTAAATATAAGTATAAAGCTACAGATCCCAAGCATTTGATAATGAAATCTGATACTATTCATACAGATTCGGGCTATTAAAGTCTAATTTTCTTCATCGTATATCTAGTATATAAAATTTTACTCATCTAGATAAGTGGTAACTTTATCTATTTTAATATTATAAAGAGAAAAACTTTAATTGTTTGTTTGTGTTTATAGGCGGGAATAACTGGACCGATTTAATGGAAATGTTACCTCAATATTTTGAATAAAGATAATTTTCGACGTTACTACTCATGCTGCTGATGGGACTAAAATATAGAGAAATGGTACATTAATTTTAATAGCAAACGTTAATTTTCATGAATAATATTAGTGAGTTTACGATGATATATGACTACGATCCTTATTAGTTGAAATAAATAAATAATTATTATTATAGTGTACGAATATATAACATTCATTTAAAGTGAGAAATACTAAAGTCTAAAGGTCTATATTATAAGCGTTGTTAGGCCGAATGTCACATATGTGTACAAACGTTATAAGCCGGGGATCTGCTGCTGAGTGAATAATAGCATACTCTTGATATAATAACTGTACCGTTTTCGAGTTATGTAATGTCCCAGCTCAATGGAGCAAACCTGCCAACTTGGCACAACTCTACAATGTGCTCTCGGCAGTTTTGACCTTTTCCAATCTTCTGATCATAGATTTTAAACACTCATCTGACGTATTTTTTACACTACTGCCGCGAAAAAGAGTGTGTTTAGGGTTAATGTATGTAAGTATGTATGTATGTGAGTTACTTTATTCTATCATACATAACTTGAAAACTTAACCAATATGAATGCACTGGGCCTCATTATAAACATTATATCTTCACGTGTGACACAGGTTTTATATATTTTTTAAAATATTCTTAATGGCGGATATATGTCGCTCTTTCAAAAAGTGTGAAAGATTTTTCTTTTCTTTAATTATAACAGTATGGGAATTATATTAAAGATGTGGATACTGTTAACTAAAAGGATAAAATAAAAATAAATAGTTAAACAAAATTTTTATTGCAGACCAGAGAACGATGTCAGGTTGTGGGGAACAACATGGCACAACGTTGTTTAGCCAAGCCGTAATACGACTTGTTTCTTTTATTTTTAAATCGAATTTGGTATACATGTTTTTTTAATCTTTTAAATTATTTGAAAGATCGAAACATCTATTTCTGTAAACTGAAATATCTTTTTACAACGATATAGATTTTACCAACGGAAGAGATTTTTCGATATTTTCAACCATCATCGTTACGCTTCAGACAATTTTCACAATTTTTATGAAAAATTATGCATCTAAACCTTCGTCGTTTATTAGATATATGTTGAGGAAAGTCAAATGAAAATCTTTCCAATGTTTATTAAGTTTATTGCTTTGAACCTACAGAACCAATAGAGAGCGGTATTTTATTGAAAAATACCTTAATATATATGTGAATAAAGAATTAATCTGTATTATCTAATAAGTTTGGACCATATTGAAAAGAAAATTCAAACGTAAATATGTTCAAAGTTAGGCGAGTAATTAAACTATATTCATTCATTCAACTTTCAGGTATACTTTGCTTATAAATTAGTACTTTTTACTTCAATCGTAAGTACTTTCGAAATTAACAAACTTTTGAAACTGGAATTAGCTTGCTTTAATAATTTGGAAGAATATCCTAATTAATAATAAGAATAGAATTACTCGCAAAGATCCATAATATACCGGACGAAATGAAACAAGACCTATTTGTAAGGAATAAATAGGGTTACGATGTAACGAGGGTTAACAGATGGCGATAATATCTCATTTGATGATTTATTTTTTTAACGATCACTAGTGCCATCTCTTGGGAGACAAAAGAATTCGAAAAGATACTTGTTCTTTTTTCCTCATACTGAATAGCTTAGGGACTTAACACGTTAAACGCCATGTAGGTCACCGGTGACCGCACCCTACCTTAATCTAGGCGCCGTGTTGGCCACCGGTGACCTCAGAGCAGACCTGTTTTCAAACAGAGTTTAGGAGCCGTAGGTCGCGTTTACGATGGATTTGACGCAGTGAGGTGACCGGTATGGCGCTGTAGATTATTTTGCCTAAGTGGTTTTCGCCTAACATGGTTATGTTAGTCAAAAATATTTTTTATGCGTAATCACTACATAGTATAAAGTAAAGTCGCTTTTCGCGTCTGTCACTATGTATGTATATATGCTTATATCTTTAAAACTACTTAACGGATTTTGATGCGGTTTTTTTTAATGGATAGAGTGATTCAAGAGGAAGGTTTATATTGCAAACTTTAGGACGTGCGAAGCCGGGGCGAGTCGCTAGTATGTATGAAATAAATTAAATGTGTTTATTCTGATACTACTGCGTTACTTGAAATAAAAGTTATAATAAAGAGATATAATAACACATTTTTACTTTTGACATCAATAAAAAATTACTTTATTGTGAAAATCAGGTATTTATTTTCCCAAAAATAGGCGCGGGTGTCCGGAGAACGTGACCTCATGGCGCCGTAATAACAACATTGTCAATTTTTACATTACAGCGCCACTACGGCCACCCGTGACCTCACCATGTTTTTCAGGAATATCTCTGAAAGTAGGTCTCAGATCCAAACCTAACCAAGACATAAATACCAATCTTGAGATACTGTATCTTAGAACAGCAAAAAAAAATAATGTAAAAATCGTATTTTGGCCTTGGCGTTTAACGTGTTAATCGTGAAAAATTTTTAGAACCTATTTATTGGTCTAACTGTCAGCTGATTAAGGTATTGATAGAAGAGTCTTGATCATCCGTAATCTATAACCGCCATATTAAATAGAAAGCGTCCTCTTCTGGACACAAATGATTTATTTTAAGAACTTAATTTTGGATATCCAAACAGATTTATTATATTTCATTATTATTAATTCGAAAATACAACAACAACAGAAAAATCACGCCCTGAAAAGTATAACCGCTGTAACACCTAGCTTATAATGCAAAGGCAAAAAAAGGCATTCTACCACGATATTTCATAGCTTTAAAAGCAGCTAAAATAATAGTAAACTTATCTTCTTTCTCATAATATGAGAGAGAAAGAGTATGACAGGAAGTAAAAATATCAACAATGGAGGCGATAAATTTAAATATTTTCAATGTCGTAAACTTATTTTATTTTAAAGAGTTAACTTTTACCAATGACATCGCAAAGGGAACGCAGTAAAATTGCTCCAGTGAAATATTTTATCTGCAAACGAAAAGCGTCGTGAAGTTATTGCTTGTGAGGATTTGGTGTGTCGTCTATATACAGTTGATTTTATTGTGCTTTGTGTTCGCTGACGAAAAGGGAACATAAAAATCCTACGTAGGTTATATGATATAAGGTTATATTGCTATTTCTTTCTTCTTTAAATAGGCAAATAATCACTTAAGTACTTAACGCATAATATAGATTGTTTGTTAATATTAAGTTGGCTTTAATATTAATATTCTTTCCTCGAAATAAAAAAGCTGAGGGCCACAGACCACATATTTTGAATAGATAAGTATTTATTAATATCTGGTCCTGGTATATATATATATTTTTAATATAAGTAGGGAAACAAAATGTCATATTTTGTCTTGGTTGTTGCAAAAAGGATTTCTGCCGTTCAATAAAACTCCTATATTTTATTATTAGTATTTTTGAACAATAAAAAAAAAAATATGTTCTCGTTTACGTACGAGTGCTATTAACGTGTCCACACGTCAGATAAATTAAAAATGAATGTTATTGTGATTCGTTTAAAAATAAAACGAAAGTCCGCAAAACGTAAATCAAGAGTTCGGTGCATCCCGTCCCACGCTCCAAAAGGTACGGGCCAGTTTTTTTTTAAGAATCAAATTAGGATTCTTAAAATTCCACACAATTCTGAAACGATCTGTGAGATATGGCGCCTTAGCTGTTTTTCTTTTACTGCAGAGCGATTCCATAAAAGTCGAATTCGACTTCACTCAGATGTACAAATTCTCTTCGAAGGCGACATCCTCTTAACATTTATTTATTATTTAATTAGGTACGTCAACATCATACATATTTAACCTTTATAATACAATATTTAAACAATTACAATTTCTGATACATATGACAATTACAGACATACACAACATTCATTTAGAAACATTGAATTGGTATTAACGATTCGTGGCATAAGTGAAATGAGTTCCGAAATAACACAGGGATAGAATAAGTATTTGAGACACATATGAATCAATAAATCTTGTTTTGTATTTTTTTGCAAAAATGGAATCAATTAAATTGCCACACTAATATAAGTTAAGCGGATTCGCTTTCTATGTGAACTCGGATACCTGAATGAATTCGAATTCAGATTTTTACGGAATCGCCCTGCTGTTTTGCTCGGATTGTGTATACAAAAGGCTAGCCGTCTGCTTGCCAAACTTTAAGATATAATATTCGTTTCCACAAACAATTTATCTCCCTTTTGACAGTCATATTTTAAATATAAATCACTCTGTATATGCAATGAAATTTTGTTGTTTGACAAAAATCTCACGGCGAAACAAATAAACTTATTTGTGAATGTAAACTATTGGGCAAATATTTTGAAGTGTACTTTATGCCTGAAACCTTAAAAAAAAAACAAAAAATTATCCGTAATTAATTTCGCAGTGAAATCCATATTGTAAATATAGTACAAGAGTATAATTGTATGTTGTTCGTGTTGTTTGTTTATTGAAAATTTTTGGGGTGTCTCGATAATAAACGAACATTAAAGCTTTTGTTAGACTTTTCGTTTATGTGTCAGTGTTTACACAAATTTTACTTTTTTATGTCTATGGTGGTCTTATTATATGATAGTTAGATATTTTCTGTTAGTTATCCGCCGGTTTAAATTCTTGTGTACTATACCTACTAGACTAGTTTCTGTCAAGTCCAGAACGAACTGTATTTTTTATAGAAATTCGATTTTGGACCTTTTCAGGGTTCCGTACCGAAAGGGTAAAACGGCAACTCTATTACTAAGACTTCGCTGTTTGTTTGTCTATCACCATGCTGTATCTCATGAACCGTGAAGGTTAGTTGAAATTGTCATATGCTATATTTCTACTGCAACTACAACAAAAAAATTTTTCAACAGAAAAAAATACAACCTTATAAGGAGGGCTTGTGTTTTGTACAATGATAAACTGAGCGTTGTAGATTTATTTAACTCATCTTTAAATATATTTAAAAATCACATCACTGATCTCTTATATACAGTTTAACTGAAGTTTGTTGTAATTATTTATCTATGTTATTTAATTTGTCTTTCTTTTTTTACAGCAACTCTTAAACACTTTTATTTTCTTTGTAGTGATAATTTTAAGTGCATTCTTTAATTGCGGAGGTTAACATAAGAAAAATATATAAATATTGTTATCATTGAGGGAACTACAGGTTTAGAAACATGTAGTATATTTTATTATGATAAGTAGAATGTATAACTGTTTGCTCCTTAATAATAAAAAAAAAATCATCATCATCATCATCATCATCAGCCCTTTTACGTCCCACTGCAAGGGCTCAGGCCTTCCTTACGGATGGTTAAGGAGGATGGGCCATGACCCTCCACGCTGGCACAATGCGGATTGGAGGGTATAATACCAAAAACTATTTAAGCGGGCTCTCATACAATGGACGAGATTTTTTTGCTCTCACCAAGCTATATCTCATGAACCGTGATAGACAGTTTTGATTTTCACAAATATGTATTTCTATTGCCGCTATAACAACAAATACTAAAAAACCGCACTTAACCGGTTTTGTTTTTACATACTTACGTTTGTGAATAAAATAAAAAAATGTAGGTATCAGGGAAAACTCAAAATAAACTTTAATGAAAGTGTAATAAGAAACAAAAACACCGCGATGCTTTTAGCGGAACATGGTTGCGAAATCTCGGCGGCTTAAGTTATTCATAATTGGTTCCCAGAAAGATCTCCATGCCAGAAATATCCCGGAGGAAAAGAGTGAGCAACATATTATTGTCGGTTTTTATACAGAAATTTGACACATTGACACACTTTCCATTGATAGACTTTTATATAACTTTGTATCTGTTAGAATTCTGTAATAATATGTTAATCCAAGATAAATTCTGAAATATGTTCGACGTCTATCTACCGTAGGTAATCTATACTAATATAATAAAAAGGAAAGATTTATAAATAAATGAAAGAACTTTTAAACGTTTGTATTTAGTTTTATTGATCAAGACCTTAGTCTTATGTGAACACGGAACCTGTTAAGGGTCCGAAACGTCAATTAAACTAAATACAAACGCGAGGAAAACGTTTGAAAGTTCTTTTTTTTTAATTTATAAATCTTTCCTCTTATCTTAATATAAGAAATCAATATAAGAAAATATCGATTTGATTGCTCCGAATCGACTTGACCGATTTTGAAAATTTGGAGTATGTGGGGTTTCTGTATTACTTCCGAGAAGATACATCATACGCGGTCATCTACGTTTATATTATGGGTTATAATTTACGCGGGAGAAGTTGCGGGAATACAGCCAGTATTACGTTAAAAGAAAGCGAATTGGTTCTCTAAAATAACAGCACTTATTTGAATAACATATTTATTCCAAATAGGCATAATTACCACTGAGCAAAGCATTTTTTATCCCACGAACCTTAGGAGACCCCTAAAATACAGATCAAAGAACCCAAAATAATAAAAAATAAATAAATTAAGCAATATTCGAACACTTTATTATTTGTAGCAAAACTGGCCCTAAATTATTCTAAGAGTTCAAATGTAATGTGAAATTAGAACATTCGCCGTGATTAGGAGTCTGCGGGCTCGCAAACCCCAGGAATGATAATATTGATAATAAAGAGTTTTATCGCTAGTGTCGTAATATTAATTAAATAAACTAATGACAACATAAGCTACATTTAGTTTTGTGAGTATTGTTTAATTTTACACTACACAATAGGTTGGATTGCACCAATAACAATTAAAGTAATGGTCTATGTCAAATTTGACAATACCTGTCAAAATGACTTAACATCGATAATGGAATGTCTTGCTCTTTCTTGGCAAACGGTCAGTTGCACAAACGTCCATTTAGATTTAATGATGATTTTAAGCTCTAATAAATGTTAAATTTGTATGGGTAATGTCGCTTTAAACTAATGAAAATTTTAATGACCGTTTGTGCAACTGGCTGATAGTATGACAATGACTTAAACAGGCGAAAGTTCGTTGGTTATAGTTTAAAATTATACTAAAATCGCCTAAGTTTTTCCAAACGATAACTCAATATTATTCCCTTAACCGGTACTTCGACATGTTTGTTATTGTTAGAATAAGTAAGTGTAACTAACCCTCAAATATGCAATATCAAACTTAAAGACACAGACTAGCATTTCATTGGTACATTGAAATACATTCTGCATGCGATATAGAGATTATCAAATCGTGTTCGGCTACTGATTTTTCTACATAAGTTAACGTTAGCACGCGAACTATGTTTAACCTCGAAGTTAATTTGAATCCGTACACAAACCTACCTAGTGGGGAAAACATCGCCTTTGACGTTAACGATTTACGGACAGACATATTACACGTGTTATGAATGCCTAGGCTGGAGTCAACGACCGTTGAAGGTTACGGCTATTTTCAGATTACAAATTTTTCTCTCCTATAGAATAGTGATGTTACGGTAGCGACTGTCTATCGATAGTATCGTAATACCGATTAGATTTTCAAAATCAGTCGGACTGATTCTCTAATTGAAACTTCATTCCTTTGAATAATAATAGTATATTATTCGTAACTAGTAATGGTACACAAATTAATACAAAAATGTAAATTTTTCACCTTGTTACTGCACTAGGTGGCGGCAAAACAAGTTGTTGCCTTCCTTTATATTGAAAGGAAGGCAACAACTTGTTTTAGTAATAATATATTTATTATCATCTCAGAATCAGATGCCGCTATTTTTAATCAAATGATTGATATCGATTTATTACTGAACGGCAGCACCCAGTACAATGAATCAACTTTTATAACGTCGAAATGCTATTTATTGCCACCAATTGAATTTAACCAAAATTGATTTAAATAAAAAAAAGGACTAGTGGTGCTTAATGTTTCTTTTTTGTTCTTTAAAACGGTCGTTATAATATCACTTGAATTTTAAAATGAGTATGACAATTGAAAGAAATAAATAACTGTCCTTAAATGAAGGTCGATACATCACGATAATTTCAATAAGACTGATTCAAGATTAACTATCGATAGAGAAATTATCACTACACATCAACACTTTTAAAACGTAACGTTTCATTCTTAACACTATCATGTGTATCAATGGCTGCGTCACGCAAATAATGAGTTCATTACCTTTATTATCATTTGACACGATAACTTTGATACGGAAAAATTCATCGCCGACGCCTCTGATAAATAATTATCAGCCAGTTTTAAGTGAACTTTCATTATAGTCACGGTAGATTGAAAAAAGGAGGTCGAATCGTGGACTGGCACGGATCTTTTTTCAGTGGCCACGTTGTGATAGCGTAAATTGCCACAGTAAACAGTCATGTGTCCTTGGTTACGGATCGTTAGTCTTACCGAGGTTGGAAGAGGTCAGCGTTTGTGAACATTAAAACTGGTCGTTTTATATCACGTACTTAGGTATTATGTTCATATGCATTATATTTACTTGGTCACCATGAAGTTAATACATTAATTACTTTTATTAATTTATGTGTATAAAACTTGGTGATTTAATCTTAAATTTAAGTAAGTATACATCGGTGGTAATAAATTCCAACCAAGATATTTTCTCTGGATTTTCATTAAACTGTTTCTAGTCAACGATTACATTTTATTTACCTATTTATATAAATATTGCAAATTAATTTATAACACTTATATATTAATCAATGTTAATTTAAGTTATTTTATGTTTCGTAGTTGAATGATTTTCGTTTTTTTTACGTTTTCCAAGTAACCAATACCGTTTCAAGCTTCTTATAGAATCAATCATAAGGTGTGAATGTATTATTCGCTTACTTAGAAGTGATATCAAGCAATTTTATTCTATGAATTCCCAACAATTGGTGTATGACTTTCAAGTCCCTGACCATTGTTCTTCGGGTTTATAGCTAATAGTAGGTTTGCCGATACCGCTAATAGCCTCTCGGGGGCCATCATTAATGGTTGAAGGCTGTTAGGAAATGGACTATTGTGGTTCATTGTTGATGTCAGTATGTGGGCCGCACAGTAAGACTCAGCACCCTACTGTTAAATAATTATGGGAGGATTATCAGTGGAACCGGGCCAAGTGTGTGGGGCTACTGTATTGCATTGTATCACTGTTAATGAAAAGATTCATCCTTCTTTGTATTGTGTAATTTACTACAGCAAGGTTCAATTGGAAAATCTTAAAATTTGAGCAATTATATTCGTTGGAATATTATATTTTGATGATACAAGATGATTTATATTTAGGTCAGAAAGGATTTAGTTTTAATACGTAAACTTTATACAACTTTAAAGTACTTTATTAATATGAAATAGCATCATAATTTGTAAATACATTTTCATCGTAATCGAAGGTTTTTAGATAGGTTACTTAAATCATCATAAACATTGATAAAATACCTTTATAAGTAGATAAAAATTACAATTTTATTTTTGGTAAATTGAATAAGGAGAAGAACCATGGCGCAGATGGTGATGGTGAGTGTTTGGTCTGCGGCTACTTTCGTGAGGGCCGGTTACAGGCTGGGTGACCGAAAATATATTATCTCGAGATAATTTAAATGTTACATAACACCTAAATTGACAGCTTCATTTATCATGAATTAGGTAATTGGATCGATTAGACAACTTTTAAGGTCAAATTAATAATTCTAATTCTTCACGATAAATGAAAAGGTCAGCAAAATAAATGTAGTGTTAACGACCCTTAAATCGATGACCTATAGAGAAGGCCGAGTGGCAATGCTTTTTGTCCCACCGAAGTTGCTCAATTGTATTCTTTGTCTACCGTAACCTTGGTCAGATGTTGACGAATAAAGAGGAAGCTAAAATAGCTTTATTGTTTGAAATCTTACTAAAAACCGATACTTTTATAGGTCTTTTGATGACAGGTTCTTTTCAATGGTTATTTATAGGATTACTCGTCAATTTCTGTAGGAAAGTGAGAAGTATTATTTACAGCGTGGACAAGAATTTACTGCATTTACAAGGAAACTGTTGATATTATTAAAAGTATTTTGATTACGAATTACCATGAACGTTATGAAAAGGTAAGTATACCAATTAAATAGAGCCATTATGTAAAGAAACTGAAACAAAATCATAATTTTGGTACATATTAGCCATTAAAATTGTAAAGTATCTTTCTTAATTTTCTATTTCTATTAAGACTCATTTTATTTTCTATTGGTAGAGTAGTAAACTTTACTATTCTTGCTGAAAATTATATCAGCTTTATTATAACAGCTACCAATAAAATAATAATATATTTTTTTGGAACACAATCATTTAGAAATGTTTTCAGATGAACAAGGAAATGCTTGAAAATAATTTAAACGCTAAACTCACCTATTTTTCCGTTAGGGCTGTACGGACCGTAGCTGCTAGAGGATAATGGCGAGGAGTATCCATTATTGGGGGGCTGCGTCGCTGCCCCGGGAGACGGCGAGCCCCCTCCCGCGCCCCCGGCCATCCAGTCGCGGACGTGTCCGTTTACCTGGTGCCCGTTGTGGCTCACCCCTGGCTCAGCCTTCACCTGGCTCGGTAGGCCGCGATATGCCACCTCGTGCTTCAAGTCCATGCCGCCGCTACCGCATGCTGACGCGCCAGCCCCGCCGCCCGCGCTCCACACTTCTGGTAAACGAGAAAATTTAAGATAAGTTATTATAGTAACGTTATCGCTATCTAAGTCGTAACAGCATAAGCCGAGAGTGTTAATTGACTAACTACATGATTTAATTCTTCTAAAATATTTCCACGCTGTCACGTTCTTTGTTGTTTATAACGTGTACGTTATGTTTGTGAGTGAACAATTTTTTTTTTCACTCATCTACATTAATTGACAACATCATGAGAATCACAAGATTAGTCAATGGGTCGGTTTTCATTTTAAAAAGAGCTTCGCTACTTAGTTTACGATTTAAGAAGCGTATGTGATGGTATCTTATATTATTTATTATCCTGACTATTGGAACATAGACTTTCCTTTTGGACAGAATGACATGAAATTGCTCGAAACATTTTATTCAATTACTTTAATCTTGACTAATTTAGGAATTGATCTGCCACATAGATTGTGAACCAATCAGAGTGTCTTTTTTTACATAAATCGACGAAATAATCTAAAACAAGTATCTTACTTCGAAAAACGATTCAAGAACAACATTTGCTAGTTTTTCATTCATAATACGAAACAAAAGAATTGCAACCCATGTGTCTAAAACAGTAAAGCACAGTTTCACAATTCACGTTTATTACTCAAACAAATTTTCCTTTGTGAATACAAAATTTCACAACGTTGTTTATTGTATTTCGTAGATAGGGGACTGTGTTGTTAGTTCGCGTGTTGTAAGTCTTAATCTTGATTCTAGCTGAGGACGATAGCTCGTAAACTACTATCTCTTGGATTAACAGGGATCTCTGGAAACCGAACATTGGGACGTTTGCAATTGGCTCTGGCATTGTTCGTTGGTCGTAAAACGGGATGCATTGCGCCATCAGACAATAGTTCAGATATATGTTCCACGAATAAGATTCATCTTTTCTTTATCTAATATTATGTAAGCTCAAGGTCTTATTCACAACCTCGAATATTTTTAAGGTTTATAACTGGAAGATTTGTAATGTGATATATTCTACAATTATTATTGTAAAGTAAATGTAAAATTCAGATAACGTGCAGTAACTTATTCCCTAATATTAAAATACAAATAATTCTTGAAATAGAGATACACATTAACCGGTAAACCGGTCGCTAGACAATAAAGTTGAGAAATTTTATTTATTGATTAGATTATTTAAATAAAGTTTATCCTATACGAAGCATAATTAAATATAATACTTTACTTAGAATGTAAATAAGAGCAAATAAGATTAGGTTTTTAATAAAAAATATATGAGTTCTCAGACATCTACAGATATCGTATGTGTTATTATATAAACTTAATACATATGCCACATAGTTTTATGAGCAGCACAATAAAGTTCGCTACTTTAAATATTTTACGAGAGAAAATAAAAATAAAAAAATATGCAAAACACGCGATTTCACTATGACAGAGGTGTACTGAACTAAAATATTGTTGATCATATCAATTGTGTTTGTGTATGTACTTAGTAATAATACCTACGAGAATGGCATGATGAGGATGAGTTTCTCTATGTCACCTCGTCGGGAAAAAAGAAAGATAGAAATATAGCTTAGTGACGTAACCATTATTCCATCCTTTACGGCTAGCACATTGTCATTACGTTCCGTTAAAGTCTTTTATAACTAACAATAATGTTTAAAATTTCTGTTCGATTATTATTATATGATTGAGTAAAACCAAGTAAAACATCAGATCATCCAACGAGAGTATGAATACATTAGGTACTATATTCTATAATACAACATGGATGACGGGCGGTGCGGTGGAGCGGCTCGGTTGCGCCAGCGCAGAGAAAGCTGTGACGTCACGACCTCGACACGCTCACCCAGTTGCGCGGTGCACCAACCTACTTCCAGTCCAATGTCGTCGGCTTTCTAGACCATCATATACCTAAAGTTTTCATGATTTTTGGTCAGATTTTTTTCTTCGATGTAAATTACTATTCCACAGTTGCACAAACATCCATTAAAATTGACAATACTTATACTTATTTTGTCTGGTCTGGTCTGATTTGGTCTGGTCTGGTATAATCAGATCTGATCTGATCTGGTCTGGTCTAATCAGATCTGATCTAATTTGATTGAATATAGAATGTCAGATCTCTCTTTCCTCACCCGTAGAAGCGGTTCCGAAAGGGGTAGATAGTACAGGATAGTGGCTCTTGAGCCGATTTCAGTTCACTGCCGCATAGAGAGGTACATCGAAGGATTAGTGTCCCGTAGCCCCGCTAAGTTCGTTAGCGTGGTATGGTATATGCATATTCCTTCACCTAAAAAGGTGTTATGCTCGATTTTCGGTATTAACAAAACTTATTTATCACAATTAAAAAGAATTTTCGATTTTCAACACATAAGCTCCGTATTAAAAATCTTAGTAAGATAACTTTCTCGTGATTTGTATTTTTAATTTGTTTTAATGAAATTTCAATATTAATTAATGAGGGTAGGAAGTGATTAATGAAGCTTGTGTAATTTTAATTTGCCTACGTGCCAGAGATTGGAGATTGGTCTCCGCGTAACTTTCGACTTCGTGGTGGAAGCTCCTACTTTCACTTTTGCCATACGTGGTATACCTACCCGTATCTATTCTAATGAGTCTGCAACTGTTTATTTAAGTGTAAACTTCAAAACAAATGTTAAATACACTCATACTTTAAAGTATTTGTAATTAAAAAAGGAATTAATATCAAAAATACATACTACACTGTCATCATTCTTCCAAAAATATTTCTTAAAATGCTATTTTTTTACTATTGCGGATATTTACTGTAAGTACACCCAATAAACGTTTGCTAATAAGTGGCAAAATACTAATATTTGTAAGGATATAAAGGACTCGTCAGTCAGTCATTTCTTATATATTTTCGTAAAATTCGGTTTCCATATTGACTGATTAATGAACTGAAAATGATGTAAATAACTGACTTTAAATTTACGAAGAATGTAACACCAGATTTTCCACTTTCACATTTTACTGACTTTTGAGACTCAAATACATAAAATAAGCAAATTCTATCTCAAGGCGAACAACAATCATCTTATTTCGTTTTAAATAGTATGCTTCCGTTTCTTTAAACCGTTTTCTAAAATACCATTTCGACGTTCTTATATCTTATTATTGCTGAATTTATCGGTAGTTTTAAAGTTTTCGTTTACGATCATTTAGAATGAGTATATTTGTTTAGAGTGGCAAGTCTTAGTTGCTTGTGGTGGTAACAAAGAGTCTATTCTAACCCCTAGCGCCGCCGACGCCACCTATAAAATCAAACGACGTTCTTTAATTTTTACACACGTTACCCGAATATCACCAGCCATTGCCTCAAAGCACACAAAACAACGCTAGAGGCCATCGCGTCGTTACACTGAAGATCGCGCTTCAACTATACCTTCGCCAAACCAAACTGTTTTTACGACATGGAAAATAAACTTTTATTACTCATTACGATAACCCTAGAATAAAGTACGATGAGAGCAATCGAAAGAATTCGCTTCACGTAAACGAATATTCAGACGCCATTGCCGCCTTATTTATGGGAGTTTTACACGAGGATATCCAGTGAAATAAATCCGGTGCGGTTCGGTGGTTCGCACGGAGTATGCGTATAAAGTATCGTTGCGGTCAGCAGATATTTACTGGGTATAACGTAAAGAATATTATCGGGAAACACGTGTCGGTGTCCTCAAAATGTTCTGAATGTATAGCGTCCCTCTAAGACACTAACAAAGAGCTGGAGTCAGAGTGGCGCCACTTTATGTACGATGCAATTCTAAGATTAGATTCTACATACTTGATCGGTGCAGTATAAGAATCTCCAATGACTCGGAAATAGAATTTATAGAAGTAGCGCGAATGCGTGATAGATTTCGGTAGCCGTAGCTTCTAAAAACCGTCATACACTGTCGGAAATCTGCTTCGGAATTGTGATTTGAATTATCGATTTGGAATTCCGTAAGTACATCACACACAATAATTTATGGCAATTCGGAATAACAAGGCTCGGTTGAAAGACGCTATAGAGTTCAGTTATTTTGTTGATGATATGGATATGGACGATGATTTTTTGTTTGCAGTTGCCCTGTTGCTGTATCTTGGTGGAAATACAACCGTACATCATGTGACTCAATCTTACGAATCGATATTTCAAATCGTAATACCGACTGTATGATGCGGTCTTAAGGTGTTGCGTCACTGTGTGGCCTTGTTGTAATTTCACGTAAGCATACTAATTTTTTTTCTCGGCAGCCGGGTTCGATAACCGACTAAGGTGGGACTAGACCGTTTGATGCCGCCATAATTAGACGTTTGCTGCAACGAACAGAGCTTCATGAATTATTGAGTTTCGAATGTAAGGTACTGCCAAGTTGATTGCCGGCAAATTGTTATAGTTCCCACGGGAGTTACGTCACGTTAATAGACCATCTAGTTTGTATTAATTACCACAAGTCTCTTTATATCCTGGTCATGGCATCTTTATATATCTGGTAATACTTGACCAAATTAAACCCGAGAAATTTATTTAAAATGTACCCAGTAAAATTGCTTAAGCTATTTAGTTAATGTCATTTAAAGCTAGGTCATAGCGTAGCGAGCGTAAACTTTGTAAGCGTGAGGTTGTATTAAATTAAAGATATTGATGGAAGAGCAAGTAACTATACTAGTTTTAAATTAAATTAATTGATAAGATGTTGCCCTTAATATTACATTATTTTTATATTATCACACAAACACTCTAGTCTGCCAAAGCATTGAGTAATTTAAAAAAAAATCAGTATCAAGATATAGAACAGACTACATTATACTCGTATATTATAATACTCGTACATGAACGAAAAAAAAAACTGCTATAATAATTGTTATTTATTTTTATACATTAGTAGCTTAGTGACGTAGTGGATAAGCGGCACGGTCCGCGATCGTCGTTGTTAAGCAATTTTCGCTAGTGTCGGTCATGGGATGGGTGACCAAAAAATTATTTTCTCGTCGTGTTTGGGAAGGCACGTTAAGTCTTTGATCCCGGCTGCATTTGCAGTCTTTAATACACTACAACTCCGCATTAAACTAGCTTAGTGGGTCATAGCCCAATTTCCATTTATATGGAAGGCATGAGTCCCTGCACCGGGGACGTTAGAAGGCTGATGATGATGACGATTTTCATTATTAAATTTTATCGATGTTGCATTCACTATCCACTGATAAATCCACCAGATCCAACCCGAGATATTGGTTTGGTTTGGTGGATTTTTAGGCATATTTCATTAAGAATAAACATTTTCATATTTGTAAAGATTTTTAGACAATAATGTAAAGAGCGAGTGAACAAAGAAGTAACTCATGTCCATAAAATTGGATTCATTTTACCCGAGTAATATAACTGGAAGAGAGAAAATCGCAAACTGCTTTCCACACTTAATAAAACCGTTCGAGTATCATTCAAGGTTATTTGGAAATCCGTAGCAGACTGGAACGACTGCAGCGCCCTCTGCAAGATTCAGTAATGCGATTCCTAAACTAGATTCGAATGTAAGTCCTTGGCTATTCCCACCAGATGACAACTTGTGTTTACTTAAGTTGCAGAAATAGGGGGGTAAAAAGATTGTAAGAAACGAGGAGGGGATATCACGTATCTATTTTATCGCGTCTTTGAGACTGGATGGGCGAGCGGAGCGAAAGCTTCGTGGGACCAGAATCCACTTTCCAGTTTATGTATATCTTTTCTTTTTTTTTCTTAGCAAATGTTGGAATTGGCATAAATAGTTATAAGTAATTAGTAGTTTCTGCTTAGAAGCTACGGATAAAATCGAAGCTACGTAAAATGTGTAGTTCAGTATTCTAATACATCTTAAACAACTTGGTGTAAAATAAACAAAAGAAATATATTCGTTAGAGGTTGAAGGAAATAGTTATTGAAATCTAAATATCTGCATGGAATCTTTAGTACGGATTTGCGTACTGAAGATTTCAGTATGCTTTTATTAATAATATTCCAGTCAAACTAAACTTTAACTTTTATTCGTATATCACATAAATCAAATAAGCTATTCCATATCTATGTCAAACTAAAAGTTGATATTATCGGGAACACGATTTCGGCAAAAGGTATTCATTATTACAATATTATACAACAATAAGCTTAACAGTGAGTATCTTTTTAAAGAGCAGAGTAACAAATATGGGCACAATTATAATAGGACCAGTTTGATTGTGTTTAGTGTCAGCTCTATTCGGGTGTTAAGAAATCATACCTTTGAGCTTTACAGGGTTGTCAATAAATTTTAAATATAGAAATACAATAACAATACGCTTACATGTATTGTTAAAATAATATCATACTATTAGGATAACCTATATTCGAATAAACATTTCACTTACGAAGAGATATATTACAATTAACGGCGTAATTTCGTGACTGAAACATACCTAACAACTTAGACTAAACAATCCATTTCAAAGCTGACTTCAAAACTTTTTTTATAGGGATTTTTTTTTAACTTTGTGAATACTAAGTTCTAGCACTTGTTATTGTTTACAATTTTGTATTTAATATAATAGAAAATCCCCTGTTTCTGCAATACTGCTCGAATATCAATAAATTAGCATTGCATTGCATTACTTCCAGCCGGAATGATTTATAGACAATTTACACAAAAGTTGAATTATTTATATAACAAAAATTTTGTTACGAATTTTTTGATGCTCTATAGAAGTAGGTATTATTAAATCTTTTTTATAATAAACTACCTTTCCGCCAGCGGCTTCGCCCGCGTGGTCTTGTATTATACATAAAAACCTTCCTTTTGAATCACCCTATCTATAAAAAAAAACGCATCAAAATCCGTTGCATAGTTTTAAAGATTAGGGATATAGGGACAAAGAAAGCGACTTTGTTTTATACTATAAAGTGAT